ACCGGATAAATTTACCTTTTTCTTTTCTGTCAATTTCTCTGTCTAAATCTATATCATGAAAATCATTTGAAGCTTGTTTTATTACGATCATCATCTCTAATGGCTCAAAATATTTGCATTTAATTTTTTTTTCATTTGTACTACTTTAATTCAAAAGTCGTAGACACATTTTTTGGTATTAAAACAAGTAAGAACTTATGGAATGATCCAATACTAATATGAACATTACATTGAATGCGTACCCTAATTAACCTTCGATTAGATTTAGGCGACTTGCTTGATGCCTATATCACTTGTTTGAACAAGCACAATACATTTTACATTGGATAATTAAATAAAGGATGTGCTTGTGGAAGAAACCACGTTGCAATTTTCATCGGCTGTTACACTTCAATTAATAGCTGCACTGACAAACTAGATAAGAGCGATTAAATCTCCATTCAACGATGAGCGGTCATTTTAGATAAATCTTTATAATACTTTTATTCATCTTTCTTTCTTTACTCAGGGACTGTAGAGAATATTCTTGAAGTCCGCCCTGATTTATGTAAGGCCCTTTCCGGCCAGGGACTATTTGCTTGGCTACTCCGAAGAATTCAGAAGCGAACTATGATCAGTTCTAGCAATACTTCTGGTGGCATCGATACTTATTTTGATAGAAATAAGCTATATGCGGCAGAGGTAATTTTTAAAATCTTTAAATTTGTCGACCGCCTTTTGATTGACCGATATTTTTTTCCTTTTTATCGAATTACTAGATTTTACACCATGCCTTGTAAAATTTGTAGGCGAAATCGCAACTATTTACTCTACAGCACCCCCAAACACTGTAGCTTATGGATACACCTACCATGAATTATAGAACAGTGATAGGAACCATCGATTATTGATGCTTTATGATTAGTATATGAAGTAGAATTTTTCAGGAGTTTTTCGTTTGCTAGTCACATCCGGAATGTACCTATATTATAGTAGTACTTTTATAATACTGTGGAATGCAGAACAGCTCTTTGAGTTGAAAAGTAAAAATAATAGGTGCGTATACCTGAAGGAATAGACTGGCATTATCAAGAGTACTTAATCTCAAAAAAATTACTTAGTTTGATGGCCGCCTTCAGAATCTCTTCCCCTTGATCTCAGTGATACTGGACTGTGCATTTAATTTTTATACTTATTTCATTTAATAAAAATC